TTAAAATTTGTACCCAATTGTAATTTACTTTCAGCTGTTTATTTCAATTTTTTTTTCTGTCTAGGAAGTTCATTTAGCTTCTCTTTATTATATCTAAGCATATATGACAATTCGTAATGCATTCTCAAACAAACTTGCGTGGAAGTATTTGAAACGTTTAAGCTAGAAAATATCAGAGTTAACGTGCATTTCTAAAACAAAACAAAAAGCTGTCCTTCAACGTTAAGATGGTAAACTGATACATGTCTTAGGCCTTCGACTGTTGACATGTTGTATTCCCAGAATGCAATCCATCTGGTCATGTGACATCGTATAATTTATGGATCTAAATCAAGCAGTTTGGTTAGTTCACTTAGTGACCAACAAATAGTTTTCGACAGAAAGATTCATTCTGTGATAATCATGTTTTGAGTCATCAATAAGCCATATTGAACATTGCATGTTCAACCTTTTTGATAACAGTATTTCATAATTTGTATACTTGCCGAAAACCTACATTTTGCTTGATTCAAATGTATCACAGTGGTCGGGTAAACATCAATTAATTATCACGCAGTTCATTATCAAAGTATTTTGCACTTCGTGAAATCATACACTCTCAAAAAGATATGTAAAAAATAATTAGGTAAAAATTGTTATGTGAAATGATACACAATTTCGGTAAAATTCGCCGAAAAAAGTACCTCGAAAACATGGAAATTGTAAAATACATATTGAATAAGAAAATAATTAATAAAAACAGTCAGTTTACCTTAATTGTGTAAAAACGTACTGCAATTAGGTAAAACGTGCTAAAACAAGGTAAAAACGTACACGCGATGACGCGATGCAGCTAGCACATAACAGCATAAGTGAAGATGGAGTACACCGTGACGACTGTTACAACGAGGGTATATGCCGGAATTAACGGTCTTTGAATATAACATTTTCTAAAGCTCTTGTGATTGTTATACCGTCCACAAGCCCTAGAAATGCCTGGACACTTTGTACGATAACAACCCCAGGATATTCTTAATATTAGCCACTGCGCGTATTATACAACTCGTACGTGAACCAACTCGTAGCGAGACAACTCATACATGTCGTACGCGGGCCAACTCGTACGCCAGCCAACTCGTATGCGAGCCAAAATTAGCCAATTTAAAGAAATTGAACAATTCACCGTTCCCAGTACATAGTCAAGAATTGTCGACCACATATAATTTTGTATACAAGTTTAATTCTGTGTACGAGTTGGTCGCGTACGAGTTGGTTCGCGTACAAGTCGACCTATGTAGTATGTGCCCGTATTCATTCATGCGTACATACTCGCCATGGCCAAGCTGAGGGCCATGAGTTATGCATCCTGTACTGTTGTATCTTATCTTGCAAAGTGTCCAAGAACTGCTATGCATTGGGGACGGTATGACAATCACAATTAGCTTGAGGAAAATGTCATCTTCAAAGACCGAAAGTAGCTGTTGTCACAGACGTAATGGTTTCTCCAACGTATTGCTATATGCTGTGATATGCTACACAGTTCGGGAAGGTAATAAATAAAATTACAATGAAACATGTCGTGTTTTGATGGGCTTCCGTAGTTTTTTACGTTCAGAAAACAAAAGGCCAACATTAACAGCTGCACCTAGCGTCGGATGGTGTGTAGTCCTGTATTCGTTGAACAGCGCCCCCTGTTGCCTCTAAACGAGGTTGGCTTGAACTTCGAGTTCCCGACAGCCCTACCCTTCATCCAACTCCCAAAATGAAACAGCCTGGTTCCAGTGATAGATCGTAATAAGCATGATGTCTAGGCTGGGGTGACAGATGGAAGGTTGGGTCCAGAAAGGAATTATGTAGAGCCGGTATGAGAGGCATGCAGGGGGTTGTCTTCGTTGTATGAGTGAAACTGATGCTAGAAGAATCTTAAACACGTTCAAACACTTACCACCAGCCCAGGTCAAACCAGCAAAAAAAATTCCCTTCCCCACCCAAAGAAGAAAAAGCGTGTTATTAAAAATGCAAAGCCCCTCTAAAAACCCCGAACGCCACTCCAACATCCACTACAACTGCATATCGAACCAATAGAGGGCGGAAAACCAATAGACTCGAAAGTTTGGTGCGCAAAGGATGAAATAAACGTCCCAAAGCTACGTCATGGCAGCGCCGAGAGGTGGAGTGGACATGAAGAAGCGCGAGAAGAAGCTGAAGCTGGGAAATAGGCGAGGTAAGGAAAATGGCTCCACCTCATAATCATGCACCCTTTGTGTCTGCTTAAAGTTGCTAGTGCTAGAGCAGGCAAGTATGATGTATTCCTAGTTTGGTCATAAAAATATTACAATATTTAAAACTGTATTTGTGATATTTTAAGGATACATAGCAAGGATACTGGCAGTGCAATGGCAGATTGTAACGACCAGAAGAGGTAAGTGCCTAGGTATGTGTCGACGACTCCAGGATGATGATAGAAAAAATCCTGATTCTTACCTCAGACGAAATGGGGGCTGGATACTTTTGACACTAGATGGCACTGTTCGTGATTGAATCTTGACTATGTATTCATTCGCTCTTTTCTTAATCACAATTAAATGTACTTCTTTGTGCAGTCACCCCAACAAGAACTGCCTTGATTTCTTCGTCGATTTCTTCGACGCGCTGTTCCCACTGGGAACAGTCCGTGTTCTTTTTGGAAACACCGAGTGTTCCCAAAAAGAACCTTCCGATGGGAACGTTGGATGATTTTTAGGAACACGGGCGTATTTGTGCCTTCCCAACGGAACGTTCCCGATGGGCACACTCGTAATCGAACCCATTCGCGAATTTTCTCTGCCTTTTCTGTGCATGTACATGACCTGATGCACTATGTGCACGTACCTCACTGTGTTTTTGGTTGTCTGCTGACGTGACCTGGCTGTGTCCCCGTCGCGTAATTTTTATTTACACCGTAGTGTAGGGTACTTCGTACTTTGTACTCAAGCCTGTTCATACCAGGCTTCAGTGGACTGGAGACTAGGGACTTTATTTCCTTTTAAAAAAAAAATCCTCCGGAGCCTCGAATCTAAAAAGAAACGAAAATTGCTGCTATACAATTAGTATCCAACTGAAAAATAATTTGTCTTAGATACAACTTAAAATTGTTAGAAAAAAAAGGAAAATCTGAAGAGGGAAGAGCAAGGAATCGAACCCGGAATCCCTATTCACGAGCCAGCATGCCTAACCAATAGGAAACGCAGCACTAGTTTCACAACAAACGTGTATTAATACATTCGTTTACGGTGTGTCTCGCGCTGGAATGGCACTTTCACGTTTCAACAATAATATTTTGTTGAAACATAAATATTTGTATTATTGGAGTTTAGGACCTTGTTCTAGTCTGAGTAATTTGGACCCGAAAGGTACGGCCGCATCGATCGCGGGCAATTAATTTGGCGTACAGGCCCGGCAAAAACGATGTGCACGGACGCCGGACACGTTGACCGAACCAGCCAGGCTACCCAACCCGTACGTACCCATGCACCACCGATGATCACCTGATGATCACCCACGGCAGCGGCATATTTTCGCCAAACACATTACACGCTGCAATTTAATGTAATTCTATCGATACATATTCACATATTACGACGAGAAGTACCTTTTTATTCTGCATCTGCATTATTTTGTCTGTCTTCCGCCACATTCAGTGTCGCGTGTCACCGAATGCGAGTTTTACCAATGGGAAAGTTCCAATGAGAACGCAGCGTCCTTTCCCTGAGGGGGCTATTTAATGTACTATAGCTGAAGGTTGAATGGAATGTTTTCCTACCACTATGTAACTTGAGCCACCCGGCCCTCACACCCCGACCATTCACCCCTGGCATCCTTCAGACCCCAAACAGCCATTTAAGCCACAGACTTGCCCTGTGAATGCCATTTGACTGTTCCATTTTGGTAACAGGGGTGATCAAGGCAATCCCTATGTGAACAGTGCTTTTGTACACAAACCTATGTAAATGTGCACAAGCACACTAGGTTTTCCCGCCAATTTTAACCCATCCAGTACAGTACCCAAACGACACCCCCTCTAGTGGATGTACCAAGGTCCATACTAGGATCTAGTGATAGATGACCTTCGGCATGGTTACCACGTGGCTAGGACAATATAAAACATAGAAATGTGAGTAGACTTTATTCCAGTCTGACTCAGGGTGTGTTTTTAAGCGTTCCCTTTGAGAACGCTTGCTGGGAACACCAACTGTTCCCATTGGGAACAGAGAGTGTTCCCACGCGGAACAGCAGTTGTTCCCAGCGGCCAAATGGAACGGGAACGTTCCGACTTAGGAGACGCTCCCTAAAGTGGATCCGGAGTGGAGGCCTGGTTATTTACCCAGGTTAAAGTGGTTTCGGAATGGGGGCCGGTTATGTACCCCCCAGGGTAAAGTGGATCCGGAGTGGGGGCTCGGTTATGTTTCCCAAGTTCTTTCGGTTTGATGATTCCAAGGTTTCGTGGGAGCCAGTTTATGTTGCCCAAAGGATTTCAGCTGTGAAAGACTGGCATCAGGCCGTTTACAATATACGCTGGTTGTGCTGGCGAAACGGGAACAGTTAATATAAATTCTGATCATATATTGGTATATGACACATAAACACATGCGGGCTGCGGAAAATCCAACATTCATACGTTCATTTCAGTTTATTTTCGTTCGTGTCTGAGTGTGATTGTTACTTATGTATAATTCTTACGTATAATAACCATTAAAAAAATGCAATCATTGCGTATTGTATTGCAGATGAGTGCCTTATGGTACAAAACAGTCAGTCCAGAAGAGGAAATATGCCAAAGTTTGATTAGCTCATATTCTGAATTTATTGCATGATTATAGCTCTACAGGAAAAGGCGACCTTGTTTCGAAAAAAAAATATTCAATCAAATTGACATTGAAAATTATTGCTTTCATTCGTTGGTTAATGTTGAGGCAAAATGGAAAGCGATTTCAAAAATCAGCAACACGATGCTGATGTATATTTATGCGCTTATGTTTAATTCATTCGGGGTAAAGGAGGAAACCACTGAATGAGGTCCACGGATAGGCGGATTCACTAAACGCCCTACCGTAAATGGTTAGATACACCTTGTCTCCTTGCTGCAGAACCAGCACCCCGCTCCCAGACACCTGCTCATAGGGACTTCCATCATTACTAAGGCCAGAGACAACCGCGTCACCGTTCTTCCGGAGATGAACGTGCAGGTTGCTGGAAGGATTTTTGGTCGCAGAAAACATGAAAACGTAGGTGCCCGGGACAGTACACGTGAATGTTCCAGTGTCGAGATCAAAGTTGGTACCCGGCAGAAGCGTCTTGGTCTCCTGAAAGGGCAAATCGGTGTCATCATTTGAGGAGGTATATGAGGGACTCGTCCTCACCACGGTGAATGCTACCCGCTGGTTGGAGTCGTCTGGTGTCTCCCCTGGCTCACCCTTTTGACCTTTGACACCAGCTTGACCGGTCGGACCTATTTCTCCTTTAGGTCCAGGGTTCCCAACTGCACCCTGATCACCCATAGGGCCCGTCGGTCCCATCTCACCTTTTTGTCCTGCATTGCCCTTGCAACCTGGATAGCCAGGCACACCTGGAATTCCAGGTATTCCAGCCGGTCCCTGGGAGCACATTGGACACGCCTCATCAGACGCACGACTTTCACCGTGCGAGGGAACCGGCCCAGTAACGGAAGCTCGGAGCTTGACAGAGTTACCCAGAAGGAGGGCGATTGAAAAACATGTTGCCATGCATATGTTCATCTGTTGAAAAAGGGGGGGGGGATGGGAAAAAAATACAATTTTAGGGAGAAACACGTGGAGAAAATATTGGAGAAGAGGAGAAAACAATAAATTCCGAGAAACGGGAGCACGTCAGAGTAGGGTAATTTGTATTGAAATGTTTCCGTCGTTTGAAGAATTCAATGCATGCGCGTTTTAATTCTCCGAACATTTTTAACCTGACAAATTCGAACGGCTTCTCATTCTTAACGCCCTTCGCTTTATTCTAGGCGACTGAGGGCGCTGCAAGGAATGTACTCGGGACAGAAACAGACGCCAATGGTGCCAATAAGCCTTGTTGAACGAAGATGGCGCTGTAACTATAGTGACTAATAACGATACAGGGGCGGATCCAGGAACTTTCGCAGGGGGGGGGGTTTCATCAGCCAAAAAATCCGAAAAATGTACACGGGTTGTTTTCTCCGGACACTTGGCCTCCTTAAAATCAAACACTGGGTGGGGTGGGGGGGGGGGGGGGGGCGCTGGTACCATATTTCAATAGGGGGCGCTGTTCAAATTCCACGATTATTAATACTACATTACAGAATGATGTACCGTATTTTGAACAGGCGGACATAATACCAGTATAATTGTGGTTTTTTTGGGGGGGGGGGGGGTTTCACAGCAGGGGGGGGGGTGGTTTCGACTTATTTGTTCAGGAATTTGTATGATAATTTTTTTTTTTACAGAGCTGGGGGGGGGGGGGGGGGGTGAGCCCCCCTCTGCATCCGCGCCTGCAATAGTAGATTGAAGATAGTACTTACCGTCAGTTTACACATTCCTTCAGCTCAAACATTACATTTGTTGATGTTTTCTCTTTTTTTTTTAAATTAGAGTACAGTTTCTAAACTGCTTCAATAAACGGAATCTTTCTTGTGTTGGTACCCAGAAAATGGCGTCATCGCAGCGCCCTCAATCACTCAACATTATGGCTATGAATGTAAAGTTATATAACTTAAGCTGAAAATCGCATTGTTGAAATTGTGTTTAATTGTCTGAGCGAAGTTACAAAACCTCTTAGTTTGGGAGCTAAGTAGAGTTCCATTAACAATTTCAGCACAAATGGTTTGATAGTACCGCGCTATTGTATGTTGGGAGGTAGTTCTGAAATGGCTATTCTTAAGTTTCGCTGGGTAGGATAGGGGTCAGACGACCTAGGTTAAATGTTAACAAAATGTCGAGTTTAATTAACATGTCGCACACAAGTGCCGGTTCTTTTTATTGAAGTTTTGACATTGACCCCTGGTACTAAAAATGCTACTTGAGAATAGAAACAAGTAAGACATGCTTAAGAATGATTCACAGATTGTATCTCCCTTATTACATATAGTATAATCCTGGGGAATAGTGGAGCTGCTTAAGCCCACTATGCCGATTTTTGGGGCGGACCTTGATTTCAACAAAATGGGATACAAGGAATGAATAACCTGAATAACTGTATTAAACATTCATTTTGCTTTTGTTTTCCATGTTTATGAACCCCAATTTAAAGTTGATCTTGTTTCTTTTACCTATTTGGTGGGTGTTGTTAAATACTAGGCGGTATATTAAAGCCGCTTGATTCAAACGAGGCACAATAAATAAAAAAAATTAAGATAGCAAGCATTTTCCCAAACAGGATGGAGCGTCAAGCCTTGAGGTCGCGCTGAGTGGTCGTCTGGGGAAAGCTTGCGGGCTTGGGAAGATCAGCTCTACACTAACAGATGTCAGAATGGATCATAACAAACAGAGGTTTGAACTAGGGAGATCACCACCACCACACTAGCAACCAGATCAATGCTGCAAACCCTGACAATGGTAAACGGGGATCACCCTGATAGGAGACAGCTTTTATTACAAATTATCAAATAAAACACAGCTGGAAACTGACTGGATGCATTAAGTTTGACTCTTGACAGTTGATTTAATGTACACAAAAGCTACATATTGTAACGAAATATTGCTTCGCGCACTGGGCTTCCGTAGCTGCTGAGCGCTGGTGCGCAGGCTGCGTTCCGTGCGGCAGTGTACGTCGCTGGTGCTCTGCGTGCAGTGTATATAAGCGCGCTGCACGTGCGTCGCGGGCGTCTTTCCGCTGCTTGCTCCGTGCGGACGAAAGCAAGTACGCTCTGCCGTTGCTCGCTGGCTGTTGGATTGGTGGGATTAGGCTGTACCCCGTGAACCCTAGTTACGGGGTGAGTAGCTGCATCTTAGGCTTATCGGTCCCGATGTCTATTGTAATTACCTGATTGGTGAATGTTTGTGATTCTTAATTATAAAGTCCCCAAGAGATAATCATCATTGGTGTACGAATCAACCCTGTAATCAACGCCTATATAGAAACCTGTGAATAACTTTGAATAAATCAACCAGTTCAAGTATATAAGCCTGCTGTGGTGCATAATCTTTGACGTGTCTATCCTTGTGTGGTGAGCGTGTGTGCGTGGTGTGCAGACCTAGGCGCCTGGAGGTAGACTTCCCCCAAAACGAGTCCGCCCCTCAGGCCTCTGCGGTTACCGCACGTCGTGGAGGCCGAAGCCCATTATTTGGTCAGCGGTCGACGCTGCCTGGTAAAGTCCGCTACAGATTGGTGTCAGAAATGGGATAGGCGTTGAACTTACTTCACCTGCATAGGACACCTTTTTACTTCACCTGCATAGGACACATTAAATCAATCGCCTGTTTAGGACACAATAAATCCCCTGCCGAGGAGTTGGAGATTAGCCAATGGTCCCTTGAAATGAGACGGCAGTTGGAGAAGTTGTATACGCAGCTCCACTCAGAGTTGGACCAACTACGGGTGCAGTTAGGTGAAATAGATAGCAAGAGGCCACGAGTACCGGAAGCGACGATGGAGTTTGAATCACCACCTTCGAGAGGAAGGTATAATGATGATTATACCGGAAGGGCCTCGACGCTGGCGAACTATGGAGACTCGGGGAGCAGTTCATCATCTACACCTGTGCCAAGGCGCAGGCCGACACCTAAACCAAGAACAAGTCGTCATGTACCTTCAGTTGTGATGATGGCGCCAGTTATTTCACCAGTTTCATCGTCTACAGCGATGGGCGCAGTAGTTGATGTCGACGGAGTAGGCGGTGGACACATCATGAACATTGGTCCGTCGATGGAGAGGAGTTCTTCCTTGCAACTAACAGAAAGAACGACCGACCAATTAGAGGAGCCTTCAGTTAGAAAAGATTTGAAGCGTGAAGGGAGACACGAGGGAAATCGAGGGAAAGATGAGATCTAATCAATGGGATGACAAACAGGCGAAAGTTTTCTTAGCTGCCAGTCTGCAGGGGACATCCGTGAAGGTGCTGAGTAACGGACCGGCTGGTGAAGAAATGACGTATGAAGACATGAAAGACAGACTAAAAAGGAGATTTGGTCCGGGGCAGTTGTCCAAAAATCATCTGATGGAACTTCATTGTAGGCTGCAAGGCCCGAGAGAAACCTTAAAGGAACTTGGTCAGGCGATATGGAAGCTGGCCACACTAGCCTTATCGGAGATTGCAGATGAGAGGAAAGACCGCCTAGCAAGAGGCCATTTTTCCGATGCAATTGAGGACCAAGCTATACGGGAGGGGATTTTTTGGGAGAGGCCAAATACGCTCGATGAGGCAATCAGAGCGGCCATGGCGACGGAGAGTTTCTTGAAAATAGAGGAACAACAGAGTGGTCATAGACAGAAACACGCTCGAGTTCTTGCTGGGGAGCCAGACACGCTGCAGCATGGACTGGAAGGGATTGTCGATGATATTTACCGGAGAACAACTCAGGCCATACAAGAGGCGCGAGTCGAAACAAGTGCTTTGGTGAAAAACCAGCTTGCCAAGGCAACATCTACGGACGGACTTCGGAAGGAGAAACAAGACGAAGACAGTAACACCTATCATAGACGGCGATTTATGGCGGACATAGTGTGCTACAGGTGTGGTGGAAACGGGCACTTCGCACGAAATTGCAGAGCCACTGCGGAAGAGGGGAATAAGTCAGGAAACGGGCTGCAGCCGACCCAGAGGCCCAAGAAAAGCTGCCTGGAGACGAGGGCCAAAACATCAAGGCGCACGACCAGTAGCAGGCGAGTGCGCTGACAAATTGCCAAAGGCGAGCGCAAAGGGAGGCATGTATGTTCCTGCAGTGATACGGGGGCAGCATGCGAAACTGCTGATAGACACCGGAGCCACGGACACATTCCTTTCATCTGCATTGTATTACAAAATCTCACCAGAGCGAAGACCCCACCTTCAAGCAGATGGATCGCACATTAAGAATGCTGATGGTTCAGTTATAGCGACACTGGGCAGCGCCTGGATGCAGGTGCAGGTAGGAAAGACTACACACACACGCTGAATATGCAACATTTGGAGCTTATCCGACAATGGATGACATCTTGCGCATGGATTTTTTGCTACCGACGTGCGGAACACTTCACTTCAGAACACTACAACTATCTGTCAATGGCGAGGGGTGCAGTGTAGTGATGGAATGGGGTCAGCTTTTTGTGCAAGAACCGTCATTGGACGGACTACAAGGGTGCCTCCTGGACACGAAGCAATTTTACAAGGGCACGTAACTGGCAAGGAGCAGGCAAGGGCGGATCCAGGGGGGGGCCAAAGGGGGCCATGGCCCCCCCAAAAACGAAATCAATTTTTTTTTTTTATGTGACATCGCAATAACGGCAGGCAATGAGTACACCACCATCTTTCCCTCAAAAAAAAAAATTGGTTAAAGTGGTCAGAAATTGCCTCAGATCGCACCACAGAGCATCTAGAATCCAAAAAAATTTCGGGGCCCTTAAGCGGGCCCCGAACCCCACGCCGTAATTTTTTTGACCCACTTTTTGACATCGCAATAAAGGCAGGCAATGAGTACACCACCATCTATTCCTCAAAAAAAACATTGGTTAAAGTGGTCAGAAATTGCCTCAGATCGCACCACAGAGCATCTAGAATCCAAAAATTTTTCGGGGCCCTTAAGCGGGCCCCGAACCCCACGCCGTAATTTTTTTGACCCACTTTTTGGGGGGACCACAATTTTTTTGGCCCCCCCCAAAATTGTGTTCTGGATCCGCCCTTGGGAGCAGGTTAACAGCATTGGAGTCATTGAGCCGGCTGACCGGAATGATATTTCCGACAGGGAAATGCTTGTGGCACGGACAGTGGTGACTGCAAAACAGGGTGTTCTGCCGATCCGTGTGTTTAACCCGGGTAGGCGTGAATGCGTAGTCCGTAGAGGGACTATGGCTGGCTACCTTACTCATGTAGAGGTGGACGAGATAGAGGAGATACAAGGCGCACAATCTCAAGCGGCTGGATCACAAGACGTTTCTGATCACCTTGCAGATATATTTAGCAGATGCAACCAAGATGTGTTCTCCAGAGGCGATGAGGACATTGGTGGGACAGACTGTGTCAAGGATCACATTGAAACGGGCGATGCGGCGCCTGTGAAGCAAAAACCGAGAAGATATTCGCCAAAAGAACAAGAGGAGATAACACGTCAAGTGCAGAAGTTGCTTGCTGGTGGACAGATAGAACAATCAGACAGTCCATGGGCATCCAACGTCGTGCTTGTAAACAAGAAAGACGGAACAAAGAGGTTCTGTGTTGACTATCGCCGCTTGAACTTATTGACAATAGAGGAAGCGTACCCGATACTGCGTATCGATGATACACTAAACACCTTTGGCAGGGGCCAAGTGGTTTTCCACGTTGGATCTCGCTGCGGGGTATTGGCAGGTAGAGCTTGACGACGAGGCCAAGAAGAAATCAGCATTCGTGGTCCGCGGTGGTCTTTACTGCTGGCGGGTCATGCCGTTTGGCACTGCAATTCCCTCCTTCACATTTGAGAGGTTAATGGAGCGGGTTTTGGCGGGCCTCCAATGGGATATGCTCCTAGTATATCTTGATGACGTAATCATGTTTGCCAAGACTGTAGAAGAAGAGTTAAGACGCCTTGAGGTGGTCTTTTAACGCCTTCGAGGCGCGGGTTAGAAACTTAAGCCAAAAAAGTGTGAGTTGTTCAAGTAGCAGGTGTTGTACCTAGGGCATGTCGTATCAAGCGAGGGCGTTGCTACGGACCCAGAGAAGATACGGGTAGTACGCGACTGGCCGACGCCAACAACTGTAACCGAGGTGCAAAGTGTCATAGGATTGGCGTCATATTATAGCCGACACAGCCCGACCCCTGCATCGCTTGACAGAGAAAGGAAGGCAGTTTAAGTGGGACGACAATTGTGAAGCATCGTTTCAGCGGCTCAAGGGACTGCTCCAAGAGGCACCTATATTGGCCTACCCTAACCCTGAAGAAGATTACATCCTTGATACAGACGCCAGCAACGTAGGCATAGGCGCTGTTCTTTCTCAGTACGATATCACCATAATTCACAGGGTTGGACGTTCCCATGGAAACGCGGATGGTCTCTCGCGCCGGCCGTGTCCACAGTGTGGTATGGATGACAGAGACATAACAGCAAAGACCTATCCAGGCGAAGTGAACCAAAGAGGAGACGAGGCAAACCCGTGGAAGAACCTACAGTGCGGATAGTGACAATAGAACCAACATTAACACACGAATCATGGAGACGGGAACAGGAGGACGATCAAACACTTGGTTGGATCCTAAGGGTGAAGGCCGCTGCCACAGCTAGCCCAGAGTGGTCAGAGATTACATCAAGTTCGCTTTCAGTGAAGTCGTATTGGCCGCGTTGGGACCAGATAAAGATTAGAAAAGGACTCTTGTGTAAGAGGTGGGAGTCGGATAATGGCGGGCAGATAAGATAATAATAATAATAATAATAGTGGCATCTTATTAAGCGCAAACAGGTCCATCACTAGGTGACGCTCATGGCGCTATACAAAGAGTAAGCACAAACTACAAAACTTAAATGACAAAAATTATAAATGACAAAACTACAAATTATAAATGCTAGGTTCAAGACATATGAATTGCAAGGTGCAGGCCGAAGAGGAGATTAGGATGTGAACAGGTAGGTTTTGAGTTCTTGTTTGAAGGAGATCGAAGAGTGTCGGGATCGAGGAACTTGAAGAAGGGAGGAGTCTGATGATCGAAGCCTGCGTGGGGGGTGGTATGCCTGTATTGAGTTTTGTAAGTAGACTGGTGAGGAGCCATGGACTGCGTGGTAGACCAACAACAGAACTTTGAAGGTGATGCGTTTGTCAACGGGCAGCCAGTGAAGAGACTGAAGGACAGGTGTTATGTGACATGCTTTCTTGGTGAGAGTGACTAGTCTGGCTGCGGAATTTTGGAGGCGTTGCAGTTTATTTAGCTGTTGTTGAGGGAGGCTTACAAATATGGAGTTGCAGAAATCAAGGCGTGAAGAAATGAGGGCGTGGACTAGTTGTTCAGTTGCATTCCGACTCAGGTACTTGCGAACAAAACCAAGGTTGCGAAGTTGGTATCTGATTGACCTAGACACATGGGAAACGTGGTCATGGAAGGACATATTGGTGTCGAAGATGACACCAAGATTGCGAGTTTTGGCAGATGAGTAGATACTGCTAGTACCCACTTGTACATGAAAACCCTTCGTATCCACCTTGCCAAGCATTTGCTTTGAGCCCAGAAGAATGAGTTCAGACTTCAAGTGGTTGAGTTTTAGACCGCTAGAGTCCATCCACGTGTTGATGTGTTTGATGCATGCCTCCAGTTGTTTTGCTGCGGATGACATAGCAATGGCAGATGGTGGGAAAGAAACATACAGCTGTATGTCGTCAGCATAACAATGGTATTTGATGTTGTGCGCGTTGATGATATTACCTACAGGTTGAAGATATATTGAAAACAAGAGAGGACCACCGACTGATCCCTGGGGGACACCATAGGCAAGATGGCTAGCTTCAGACTTTGCATTTCCGATGCATACACGCTGAGAGCGATTTGTCAGATAGGACATGAACCACTGCAAAGCTGTTCCGCTGACTCCCAACGAGCATAACTGATCGATGAGGATACGATGGTCTACCGTGTCAAATGCTGAGGACATGTCAAGCAGAACAAGGGCTGTGATGTTTCCATTATCCATTTGTTGAAGTACGTTGTCCGTTAAATTTGTGAGAAGTGTTTCTACGCTATGATTTGAACGGTATGCTGATTGATTGCTGTCAAGTAGCGAATGTTCCTGCAAATGATCTGAGAGACGAGAGAATGCCACACGTTCCAAGACTTTGGAGAGATATGGAAGGTTGGATATTGGACGGTAACTCTGCAAGGAATTTGTGTCCATACCAGGTTTCTTTAATGTTGGTCGAACAATCGCTCTCTTTAGGACTTCAGGAACGACTCCAGTATCCAAGCTCACATTGATGATGTTAGTGATGACTGGGGTGATGGCAGACATACATTTTTTTAGAAGAGAGGTAGGGATCGGGTCTAACTCACATGACTTTGCTGGTGACCTTGCCATGATGTTGCGAACTTCATCTGTAGATGCAGGAGCAAGAGTATTGAAGATACCAGGTTATTGTGCCAAAACCACATCGGCAAGAGGTAGTGGACGAACTTCATGGGGGACAGACAGGAGGACACCTTGGTCAGAAGAAAACATTGGCAATGGTGCGCCAGAGATTTTATTGGTCAGGGATGAATGCCGATGTTAGGTCCTTTGTCAGGCAGTGTGACACGTGCGCCTCAAAGAAGTCGCCTACTAAACGTCGAAGAGCCCCGCTGCAACAGTATGTAGTTGGTGCCCCGATGCAGCGTGTGGCACTGGACATCCTTGGACCTCTTCCAGAAACCGAACGTGGCAACAAATATGTGTAAGTCATGGGCGACTACTTCAGTAAATGGATAGAGGCGTATCCAGTGCCTGACAAGAGAGCAAAGACTGTGGCTCAGAAGTTAGATATGGAATTTGTGTGTAGATTCGGAGTCCCCGTCGAGCTACATTCAGATCAGGGGAGGAACTTTGAATCCCAGGTGTTTGGAGAGATGTGCAAGGTTCTGGGGATTAAGAAGCGTACGACATTATACAACCCAAAATCGGATGTGATGATAGAGCGCTTCAACCGGACCTTGCTCAGTATGGTTGCTGTGGTGATAGCCCATCGACGTCAACGCGATTGGGATGAGAAGGTGGCACTTGCAACGTTCGCCTACCGGGCAACACCACACGAGACTACGGGGGAAACACCTAACATGGTAATGTTAGGCAGGGAGGTGCTCTTGTCTTTAGACTTGACAACTAGGGTGGCCTCAGACGAGGATAAGGGAGATGTCAGAAGCGATTATGTCTACGACTTAAGGGAAGGAATGCGATTTGCGCACGAATAGGCCAGGGAGCACTTAAAAAAACAGTGCAAGGCGGCAGAAGAAATACTACGACCACAAGCCAAGTTCAACGACGCTAAGGACCGGGCAGTTTGTTTGGTTACATAACCCGAGTAAGAAAAAAAGGCCTGCCACCTAAGTTGGAACGGAGGTTGAAGGACCTTACTTTATTTTGAAGAAGATATCGGAGGTCACTTTCAGAATTCAGAGGAACCGACGGGTAAAGAAGAAAGTTGTTCATTTCGACCGACTAAAGCCATATGAAGGTCGCCCACTCTTGCCTTGGGATGGGACAGAGCCAGATGGAACACATCGTCAACCACAGAGACAAGAAGGAGAATCAGAGATAGTAGGAGTGGAAAACGCTGAGGCGTTAGAAGAGACTCTATACGAGGAAGTAGAAGCGGAAGAAGCTAGGGAGCTTAGTGAACCAGGGCAAGAAATACCAGAAACCCTAGAAGTACAAGAAGGAAAGCCAAAGATAGACTCTTGAACATGTAGCCGGGAGAAGAAATTCACCTAGGTATCGCCGTAAACCACAACGTTACTTGTAACATCACACATAGAAAGCGGGACCTACGTAGGGTTAACCCAGGGAATCACCTCCTCTGAGGCGTGGATGTGCGAAGAGAGACTGAATGAGTTGTGAAAAGTATACACCCTAAAGGTTTAAAGTTAGCAGTAAGGACTAACCGTAAACTCATTCTGTAATTTGTCGACAGAGTCATCATCATGAAAAACTCACCACCGAAGAAGACACCAAGGGACCTTGATGAAGCAGCGACAGGGAAGTGCCCCACCTGCCATGATGTGTTTCTGCACAAGCGCAGTTTGGAGCGACACATCAAGGTGGAGCATGGCCCGTGAGCACAGAAACAACAGACGGGATAACCTATGGGCCCACTTTCGTGACTGTCACCAATCGGCACAGAGAGAAGTAAGCCAGATTAGAGCTGAGACGTACAGACGTGCCACAAGCGGCCACAGAGGTCAAGATACCCGCAACTGCAGCGGATGGTGAGGATGAGAGTGTGCGGAGATAATGGTGTCTGCATCACCGCGTATGTGGGAGAATAAGGGGTCCGGGAACCCACAGGAATGGCGACCTGTCAGGCCAGGAGGAAAACCATTAAGCATGATGAGGTTGATACGTGGTCTGGGAGAAAATCCCGAGGAAGGCGTCGCAGAGACGGAGGGCCTGCCCATGCCCTCCTCACCCTTCCAGATCAACAAGCTGCTACCTGGACAAATGGTTCGCTGGAGGGAGGTAAAGGAGACCTACCTATACAAAGGCGACGACAAGGTGATCACCGGTGAGACGTCTCGCGAATTTGATGTTGTTTACTTACGGCCCTATGCTGAGTAAGTGGAGACCAAGGGGAAAGAGCCGAGCACCGCACCACCTGGTCAGAGTCGACACCTGTGCAGGCTGGTGAGGTTGGAGGGTGGCCAAGCAGGAGCACCATACAAGGATAACGACCTAGTTGACGCCATGATCGGCAATGCTCGGCGAGTGGCAGAGACTGACGTACGGGAAGTCTACGTGGATGGAGAGAGAGTAACGAAGGACAAGACAAAGCGGGTCTTCGACTGCAGTTTCCAAGCGGGAGTTGCAGTGAAAAGAAAACCATAGCTGTGCAGGGACTTTAAACTTTAAAGATTGATGTTAACACCTTGAAGGACCTTTTTTGTGTGTGTTGCCGAGTTCGACCTTCTAGGCGTTTGAGGACAGGGTCTCATTGTTGTTTAACTAAAGTCTTATGAAAGAGTTTTTGTAAACGATCTCAGGTTTAAAATCAAACCTGTAAAGGCTCTTGAGGATAGGGTCTTATTGTTGTTTTACCTAAAGTTTATGAAAGAGATTTGTAACCTTTTATTTTTGTATAAGAAAGCCTTACGTAGTTTTCTGATGTTTAAAGACTTTTTGAAATTAGGTCAGTATTGTTCTTGTTTAAACAAACACCTACGAGACTTTAGGACAACTTACTTAAGGTGCAATATTTCTTTTAAAGTTTTGCTAAGCTGAATGGTCAAGGGGACTGATCAGCCTTGAGGTGCGACTGTGTAACAAAATATTGCTTCGCGCACTGGGCTTCCGTAGCTGCTGAGCGCTGGTGCGCAGGCTGCGTTCCGTGCGGCAGTGCACGTCGCTGGTGCTCTGCGTGCAGTGTATATAAGCGCGCTGCACGTGCGTCGCGGGCGTCTTTCCGCTGCTTGCTCTTGCTCCGTGCGGACGAAAGCAAGTACGCTCTGCCGTTGCTCGCTGGCTGTTGGATTGGTGGGATTAGGCTGTACCCCGTGAACCCTGGTTGCGGGGTGAGTAGCTGCATCTTAGGCTTATCGGTCCCAATGTCTATTGTAATTACCTGATTGGTGATTGTTTGTGATTCTTAATTATAGAGTCTCCAAGAGATAATCATCATTGGTGTACGAATCAATCCTGTAATCAGCGCCTTTATAGGAACCTGTGAATTACTTTGAATAAATCAACCAGTTCAAGTATATAAGCTGTGCTGTGGTGCATAATCTTTGATGTGTCTACCCTTGTGTGGTGAGCGTGTGTGCGTGGTGTGCAGACCTAGGCGCCTGGAGGTAGACTTCCCCCAAAACGAGTCCGCCCCTCAGGCCTCTGCGGTTACCGCTCGTCGTGGAGGCCGAAGCCCATTATTTAGTCAGCGGCAGACGCCGCCTGGTAAAGTCCGCTACAATATGCTAAAAGCCCTACATAGAATATTGTAATTGAAATACATTTAAGTAATTCCAGTTAGTGAATAATTCTTCCCCCTAAAATGTACTTTAAAATATACCACCACCCTAAGGCCAAAAAAAAAAGTCTCCGGTTTCTGGTATGGGGCTTCCCCAAAAAGTGGTGCGGCGACGCGGCTTTTTTTTTTTTTTACCTGATTGTTTTGCTTCAAATGTCGGCTGATGACTGCAAATGGTGCCTGACTAAACTTATTGCAAATAATGGGAGTTCAGAGAGGCCACATAAAGCTTATTCTTGACCATAACCCAATCTAAAAACACGTTAAAATTGTGCAGCAGCAGGATTCCAGTCAAACCAGTGAGTTTGGCGGTTTTGAGACATCATCTTTCATATGCGCGCGCATACCAGAAACCGGAGACTTTTTTTTTTGGGCCTAAGAGGGCCAATATACCTGTAACATGGTCTTTACAATTTATTGCGAAAATGAAGTTAACGAATGCAGAATGCGTGTTGTTTTGACAATCAAAGTGACAATTTCAACCTCGTTTGCATCAAGCTGTTTATATATAAACCGCCTATGATTTAGGCCATACCTACCAAATAGGTGTCAGTAACAAGTGTTTAACATTAGAACACCTTTATGTTCATGTGCTCATCTCATTTAAATCATATAGAACAGAGAATGCTAAAGATACAGATTTTGTCTGGCTTTTGTGCGACACCTTTCAAAATATAGCTCTACCTCTGCATTAAGAAAATATAAATGCGGATCTATAAATAAAGATAATATTAATAGTGGGTTCCTATATAGCACCTTCAACAAAGATCAAAGCGCTTTACATTATTTTTACCCTTGATCATCGGGTCGATCAAACATTCCAAATACCATCTATTAAAGCTCCCTGGGGAGTATACAGCTCGATGCAGCCTGTTAGGCGCAAGGAAGCTAAATCAATCACAATTACCATCTCTGCCCTCACAGGTAGAAAATGCAAAAATATTGTCAGCTCATTTCAAGTTCAACCTGACCTGTCAATTTCCGTTATTTTACCAAGAAAATGCACGAAATGGATCAAACCATAGAGCAAGGACCCATCAAAGCACTCTTATACACTACTCCTTTACACATTTGGGTCAAGCCCACAGATCGGATGGAAAATATGACGTTTGAAAATGTCATATTTTTATGTAATGTCTTTGTTAATTTCAAAGCATGAACAAAGAAGGAAAAATGCAGTGCATCGAATAGGCTATAAGCTATGAAGCCCCAAATTTGGCAACCCTTCTTTTTACAGATTTTTAGGTAGTAGATTTCAGGACATTTGTAGTCGTGCAACAAGTTTTCAAAACAAATATGGTAATTTCTGTCAGAAATTTGGACCTGACTGTTTTACTCTCTCGGCGCCCAAAACGTAGCCACCTTGATATCTCAAAACTCTATTTACATCACTGTGAATTTGACAATTTGCAGAAATCGAAAACTCTTATGCAGGTGGATATTTGGTAGTGGACCGAAAGTGACCGCAAAAAAATGAATTTATATTGGGAAAAATTAACTGAGCGTGATTTTTTTTGAGACAAAATAACTCGCAAACTGACATATCGGACGCATAAAGGCTGAACTGTGCAAACTAATTATCCGAGACAGTGTAGCGCGATCGTCCTCTGCCAATTAGAAAAAATAAAATAATAAAAAAAAAAAAAAAATACTTCACGATTTTGAACAGCACTATGAAATCGAAAATGAACAGTCGTCGGAAAATATTTAACAACTGCCATTCTAATGATGACAGACGCTATAACATCTAACCTGTTTTATTCATAAAATGCGTAAACCACGTGGAAGAACTTAAATTAATGAAAAACATCATTCTTATAAATGTTGTCTAAACAAGAAACTAGGTTTTGCTAGCAGAAAATTTGAACTCCGGTTTCTGCAAAATTTTCAACCCGTTTAAGTAGGAAATTGTACTTTTTTAGTTTACTTGGTCCACTTTCGAGGCACCTTCAACAACCACAAATTGACATTTAAAATTCTGCAAGCAGAGATAATAAAATTCGATTGTCCACTTTTTGAGTTCCTTTTTGAGTGAAGTAACCTCCCAAACCCCCCTTCCCCCCAAAATAAAATACACCCACCTTTAAGGTAACGTTCCTGAATACTCTCATAAAAGGAATCCTCAACACCGGAGTAGATTGCTGGCTGAACGTAATAAAAAAAAATGAGTAAATGAGTCATCATAAACCTGTTCAGAGATATCTCGGGGTTTGTTGGGGGAATCATACACACATTTAACAAGTAAACACCACAATGAAACCTTTGTCAGGATAAATTAGGTTTAGATTGATTATGTACTTTAAAGGGAATGCGTTCTCTAACGGCCCTGACTGGACTCAAGCACACTCAAACACCACACACACACACACACACCCACACTTGTTTCACATGACTAGTGTGGACTTTCCATTGCTTTCGTGTAGTTAAGAAAAACCAGTGAAAAAACTCATTTTTCTCAAACTGTGAAAACTCTTTCAACCCAATTTTTTTTCTATGATTCCCTTTAGTGTTTCTCTTCATTCTGCTACAGATAAACCTAACCCAAAAATGCCTCTAAACCTGTTTTCCAGAAATGGGGAAACACTGTGTGGACGTGGGCAAGTCCACACAACGTCGGTGCTACCTACATTATGTGGACGTCTTTTGTTCGGAAGTCCACACTGCGTATGTAAGACAAGCTCACCCATGCATGCATAGGCATAGAAGTAGGGTACTTCCTTTGTTATCGTGTACCGACATTTTGCAACGTCGCACACTTATGTCAAAATGCTCTTATTCTAACCATAGTTAATTTCCTTGCTTAAAGTTCGGACTTAATATCCCTTTTCTAAAACTCTTCCATTTGTGACGAATCAACCCACCTTGGAAATTTCTAATTTTTGAGTAAAATCTATATATCTATTTCTTGAAAAACTTGTGGGGTACAAAAACGGTACCCTGCAAGTCGGATGGCATTCCTTGTGGGGTACCTCTCATTGTTCCGGTACCCCACAAGGCAGTGTTTGTACACGCACCCAGGTTTATGTTACATACCTTGTGTGGACTGTCCATTGCTTTCGTCTAGTTAAGAAAAACCAGTGAAAAATACTCATTTTCTCAAAC